GGCCACCCCCGCCCCGCCCTGCTGGCCCCAGCCTGGGGAGCCACGTCCCCGCTCCCCGACACCAAGGGCAGGGAGAGGGGCTCTGCCCCTTCCCAGGTGCTGGGGAGGAAGGCAGGAGCCCTGGCAGCTGCCTGCGCCGTGCGTTGTCCTCCCTGTTCTTGGAGAAGCCTGACCCGTCCCCTCCTCTCGTCCTGTCCCAGGTCCGGTTACAAACGCCTTCATAGTGCTGGCCCCAGCCAACATGTTCAACCCGGACGGGAAACCCAGTGTGCCTCTCCCCAAATTCAGCAAACACCTCCATGGCACCGAGAGCAACGATGAGCAGGGGAGCGAGGGAGTGACGCTGCGCCTCGGGCTCCACCAGCAGGTACCGGGGAGGAGCGGGCTGCTGGGGAGGGGGTGGTGGAGGGTGGGCGGGGGGGAACTGTGCCAGAGGGTGCAAAATTTCTCCTCCAGCCAGAGCAGCGGCGGCAGCTGATCGGTGCTGATCACTGCTGATGGGCAGCAGCTCCTCGGCCTGTTCTGATCTTCCCCCATGCTACTGAACTTCCCCACGTGCCATTTGTTAAGGCAGTGGAATTGCCTGGTTGCCTGCCTTGTGTCGGGAGGCAGGAGGCAGGCAGGAGCCAGGCAAGAGGCAGGCAAGCTCTTCCCTTGCTCTCAGCTGCGTTTGGGCTGTGCTTGGCCAGGGGAGAGGAGCCCCCAGACAGAGGTCTCCAAGTGGAGCAGGGTCCCGGCTGGGGCACAGTGTGTCCCTTTGAAGTCACCCCAGTGTGGCCATCCCCAGGCAGGGGGGTATCCTGCACCGTCAGTGGTCCACAGGCTTGCTGCTTGCCGTGCTGCTCTGTCTGTCCCCTGGTCTCCCTGCCAGTGGTCCCAGAGCTGCTCTCCTCTGTCAGTGTCTGTCCCCGGGCGAGCGGCAGCCCTGCCACGGCTGATGGATGAGCTCTGTGTAGGGGAGGTGCCAGCGGGTCCAGGAGGGGCTGTTGCCTGCTACTTGGTGGCGGGGACGGCACGCTGGCAGTGCAGGGCCAGCTTGGGTGCTGCTTTGGAAATGTCCATCCCGCAGTCAGTCGGGCTGCTCCGCTCACAGCACGATGCCAGGAGAGCGGCCTGCGGCACAGCCAGCCCAGCGCCTCCCCCTGCCCGGGCAAAGGGCTCTGTCCCTGCTGGCGCTGGAGCTTGGCAGAGCCCTGCTCAAGGCTCTCGAGGGGACCGTTTGGGGCCCCTGTCCCTGCCCAGCCCTGGGCACAGACCTTTCATTTGTGAAAGGGGCTGCAGCTCCAGCCAGGCTCTGCCGGTGCCGCAGCGTTGGCCGGACCCCACTGGAGCCTCTGCTCGGTCACCGCTTTGGCCTGCGGGGATGGGGATGGGGGATGGAGGGGGGTTCCTTTGCCTGCTTCAGCGGGGAAGCCTGCCCACCCTGGGAGAGGGCTGGGCTCTTCTGTATCAACATCTCTTGTCTGGTCCCTGCAGGAGTCTGGGGAGAGCTACCTGGAGAAGGCTGAGAAGATGTACTCGCAGATGTACTCAACAAGGGAAAAGGTGAGAGCTGCTCCGAGACGGGGGAGTCGCGTCCTTCGGGTACAGATCCCTCCGGGATCCCTCTCTCCAGCTGAAGCAGCCCTTAGGGCACTGTGCGAAGCCGTGGGGTGGAAGGATCCCTGGAATTTGCTGATGGTGTAGGCAGGAGGGGCTGCAGTTTGAGTAGGAGACGGAGGAGGGAGAGGACAAAAAGAGTTTGGGATTTGCTGCCGTCTGGGGGAGCGCTCGCCTCCACTTGCCAGAGGTGAGACCCAGGCACCTGAAGCTTTTCTGTTGCGTTTTCTGTCACAGAACCTGGTGGGAGACCAGGAGCATCTGACGATCCAGGTGAGTGAGCTGGAAGAGGAGGTGAGCACCCTCCGGAAAATCAACAAGAACCTCTTTGACTTCTCCGCTCGCATCATCACCAAACCAGCCAAATGAAGAGGCACCCCCTGCCCTCACACCCCTCTGCCTCTCCCTGCCCAGCTCCTGGGGAAGAACCAGCCCCCCCTTGGGCACCCGCAGGCACGCAAGCACGCCTGGCTCGCGTCCTCGCCAGCACCGGTCACGCGGCACACGCCGGAGCATTTGCCTGCTCGGTCTGGCATCCGTTCGATGACACAGGACTCAGACAAGCGCGGGGGCCACAGGGCTGCTGCGTGCGGGACAACACAGGGACTGTTTTTACCCCGAAGCGCCGCTCGGTGCCGGCGGGGGCAGACGCGGAGGGGCCCGGCCGCGGGGG